GCTAGTTTAACCCGGGGTGCTTCTTCCTTAACTGGTCGAGTCAGCTCCCTCGCCGTCCTTCGCTTTTCTACCATCTGTGACCATAGGTGGAGAGTTCGTTCCGGCTTACCCAGGCACGAAGGTCTAGTGGTAGTCCTCTCGTACCGGTCGATGACCAGAACCTCTAGTATCTCCTCCGGACTCCGGGACTCAGTTCGTAACCACTTTTGTGCGAGATGGATGAGGTCATATAACTGGGACTGTGGAGTTTTGTTTTCCTGGTATCTCCACTCATGATATCGCTGGGCCCACACTGCGGTCGTTACCCCAGATCTGGCCAGGATCTCTGCTTTCAGCTGGGGGTATTCTGCCACAGCCTCTTCAGGCAAATCATAGTAGGCCTTCTTGACCTCCCCAAACAGGAAGGGAGTGAGGATGCCAGATCACTGTTCTTGGGGCCAAGCCTCCCGCAGGGCTGTCCTCTCAAAGGCCAGGAGGTATTCTCTACATCATCCTCCCCGCATCATTTTCTGCAGCCAATTGCGGGCCTGCATGATCTGCATCCCATCATGGCCGCGGTTCAGCTCTGTAAGGGCCCTTACCTGGTTTACCAGTTGCCGCAACGTAGCCCGGTCTTGAGCAGCCTGGTCCATCAGCAAGCGATTAGTCTCTTGCTGCAGCCGCACTGTCTCCTGTTGGGTGGCTGCCTGGTCACAGGTAGCCTCCTGCTGGGCAGCCGTGGCTTGTATCAGTGCCCGCACTATGTCCTCCATTGTGGTGGGGAAAAAAATTAAAAAAAAAAAAAAAAAGGGAGAGGGTTTATACAACACCCTCCTTCTTCTGCCGCGCTGTGTACACCAGATCCCACTCCTGACACCAGTTGTGACAAAGTTCATCCTCTACCTTGGTGGGTCTTACGCTTATTGGCGGATTTTCTCGCCTCAGAGATTCACGGCCGCCCTCAGTTTGGCCATTTTCGTGAACCCACAGTCCAGGTCAACCCCTCCTGTGTCTGACCAGGAGTTGAGAGGTTTAGGGGGAACCCGGGCCTGCCCTCTACTCTGGGTTCCAGCCCAGGGCCCTGTGGAATGCAGCTGTCTAGAGTGCCTACTGGAACAGCTGTGCAACAGCTACAACTCCCTGGGCTACTTCCCCATGGTCTCCTCCCAACACCTTCTTTAGCCTCACCATAGGACCTTCCTCCTGGTGTCTGATAATTCTTGTACTCCTCAGTCCTCCAACAGTACGCATTTTCTCTCTCAGCTCCTAGTGCCTCTTGCTCCCAGCTCCTCACACGCACGCCACAAACTGAAGTGAGCTCCTTTTTAAACTCAGGTGCCCTGATTAGCCAGCCTTAATTGATTCTAGCAGCTTCTTGATTGGCTGCAGGTGTTCTAATCAGCCTGTCTCTCTTAATTGTTTCCAGAAAGTTCCTGATTGTTCTGGTACCTTTCCTGTTACCTTACCCAGGGAAAAGGGACCTACTCAACCTGGGGCTAATACATCTGCCTTCTATCACTGTCCTGTAGCTTTTTCCCGCCCACTTCCCGGATCCCAATAGGATCATTGTCCTGTAGCCATCTGGCCCGACCCTGTCACAAATTGTACTAACACTTCTCTGTCTCTACTAGAAATCCCTCACGTGATGCATCCTAGGACTGCATTAGCCTTCTTCACGGCCGTATCATATTGGTGTGATGATGTATCCATAATTGCAGATCCTGGCACTCTATTATAGTGAGAGAATTGGGTGCTCTTTCTTGTGTATGCCTGATGTGATTTTCTACAGGGACAAAGTCATCCTGCATATATATTCCTGTTCTTTCTGAGTTTTGAAAGTAATCGTCTTCGAGTGATGGTCCCTATGTGTATTCCATACGTGAGTGTGCATGCGCACCATGTGCTTGATTCCGGAAGTGTTTCTTAGCAGTGCCTGTTATCCTGCACATGCGCAGTGCATCTCCTCATGCTCTCAGCTGAGGGTATAAGAGGTAGTACGGGTCGATGCCTTCCCGTTCCCTCTTACTGCCACATGGCCTGAATTGGGACCCACTGTTCCTTTGTGCTTTTAATCTGCTAAGAGAGTTATTCTTGTTTGTATGTAGATATTTTTAGAGTTAGTAAGTTATGTTTGCCTAGTGTAGTAGTTCTTTTTCCCCGTTCAGGGACCGTCCCCTCCTCCCGGGTACTATGGCCAGGATCCTGGGCTTCAAAAACTCTCTCCTGCTTGTGCTCTTTCTCCCTGAGCATGCTGCGCCATCTGTAAGTCTTTCCTGCCCAGGACTAGGGAAGTCTGCGAGCTCTGCCTTCACAAATACCTTATGCAGCCCCAGGTGTCTTTGGATCCTGTCCCAGGAGACCCACCTGTACAGCGGTCACTACTGGTGGTGAGCGTCCCTCTGAGCTCTGTGTATGGCTCGGAACCGGCTGTACAGAAGGTCAAGGACAGGTCCTGGCATGAGAGCAAAAAACACTCACTGGCACAAGAGCAGATCTCCACAGAGGACTGCTCACAAGTGCAGCATTTCCTCCCTGAGCCAGGTTGGGTGAGATGTGGTGTGCAGATCTGGCCAGACCGGCACTCAAGATCCCACAGATGGAGGACAAGGCCAAACGCAAATGGGATCTGGCAGTACCAGTGATCATCTTGGCACCCAAGTTTCCAGAATGCTCACCAGCATGCGCAACACCACCTGCTCTGCCAGTGCCCATGCACCTGCCAGACAGACCGGCCACATAGACTCCACCAGGCTACTCAGGTGTTTCTCTCAGCATTTCGCGGGTTCCTGGCTGCATGGAGACATTCCTGATGACAGAGGAGTTAATTCTTCCCTATATGGAATACAGACAGGGACCACATATCTTGAAGAATCTCCAGTTACAGGTAAGTAACCTCCTCTTATTTGTATTTCACCTTATTCAAAATATTGTTCTGAATGGGTTTTTTCCCCAAACCCAAATGCAGAAAAGAAAAAGTGGTGGCATATCCTTTATGTATTGTGACAGGGTCGGGCCAGATGGCTACAGGAGAGTAATAGAAGGTAGATATATTAGCCCCAGGTTAAGTAGGTCCCTTTTCCCTGGGTAAGGTAACAGGGAAGGTTCCAGATCAATCAGGAACCTTCTGGAGACAATTAAGACAGACAGGCTGATTAGAACACCTGCAGCCAATCAAGAAGCTGCTAGAATCAGTTAAGGCAGGCTAATCAGGGCACCTGAGTTTAAAAAGGAGCTCACTTCAGTTTGTGGCATGCGTGTGAGGAGCTGGGAGCAAGAGGCACTAGGAGCTGAGAGTGAAAATGCGTACTGTTGGAGGACTGAGGAGTACAAGAATTATCAGACACCAGGAGGAAGGTCCTATGGTGAGGCTAAAGAAGGTATTGGGAGGAGACCATGGGGAAGTAGCCCAGGGAGTTGTAGCTGTTGCACAGCTGTTCCAGTAGGCACTCTAGACAGCTGCATTCCACAGGGCCCTGGGCTGGAACCCAGAGTAGAGGGCAGGCCCAGGTTCCTCCCCCCAAACCTCCCAACTCCTGGTCAGACACAGGAGGAGTTGACCTGGACTGTGGGTTCACGAAAACGGCCAAACTGAGGGCTGCCGTGAAGCTCCAAGGCGAGCAAATCCGCCAATAAATGCAAGACCCACCAAGGTAGAGGAGGAACTTTGTCACAGTGTATAGATCACTGCAATTCTGTCCATCTACAAAAGCAGAATTTAGGCAGTCAGACTCTGATCTTTCTTAAGGATGGAAGAACGGCCCCCAATATCTACAATTTATCTTTGCAAGGTAAGTAATAGAAACCTTCAAAGTAGCATGGGTCCATGGATTTATTTTAGCTAGATGTACAGTGGAAGCTTAGAAAGTGTGATGGATCCATGAATTTGTGTATATTCTATATTTATAGCAGAAGCCCATAACACAGCAGTCTGTGCTTGGCTAAGCTCATAGCCCTTTCTACACAAGGCATCGTGGATTCTTGGGCAGAGAACAGGGAGACCTCTTTGCGGGCATTGTGCAATTGGCTACTTGGTGCTCCCCAAACACTTTTTTAATGCTTTACAAACTTGATGTCTTTCCATCAAAGGATGCCGCATTTGGGAACGATGTTCTCTAATCACCAAAGTGCTGAGATCTTTCCTCAGTTATTAGTTCCCTTTTAATTTTTAATTTAATAGTTTGTTTGAGACTTTGGCTTCTTGTTGAATTAAAGTTCCACTGCTGTCTGTGTATGGAGAAAGTGTAAACAGTCTGACTCTGGGCCTTTTAGCTACAGCACTACTTGCTTCTTCTCTCTGAAATTATTTTGTATAATAGGGAATGCTAAACAGTACTCATTCATCTGAGCCATTGGTAAGCTAGGATCCAAAAAGAATGTTTTTTTAATCTGCTAGTTCTTTTCTGTGTCCTGGTTTCCACTGTTGCTGTCACTTACCCTTTAGGTCAGTGAGAAAAGTTTTGTATGTTTTTTCCAAGTTAAATATCAAGAAGATTTTCCACTCTGGAAATTGTGTAAGTATAGAAAGAGAGATGGAGGCAAGAATAAGAGCTTTCTATTGGTTGCCAACAGGTGCCATTTTTTTAGAGCCACCCTTTAATCTAAGGTTTCAGAGTAGCAGCCATGTTAGTCTGTATGCGCATAAAGAAAAGGAGTACGTGTGGCACCTTAGAGACTAACCAATTTATTTGAGCATAAGCTTTCGTGAGCTACAGCTCACTTCATCAGATAAATACAGCGGGGAGATTTATATACACAGAGAACATGAAACAATGGGTGTTATCATACACACTGTAACGAGAGTGCTCAGGTAAGGTGTGATGAAGTGAGCTGTAGCTCACGAAAGCTTATGCTCAAATAAATTTGTTAGTCTCTAAGGTGTCACAAGTCCTCCTTTTCTTTTTCCTTTAATCTAAGTCACCAAAAGCCAAAACGAAAGAAATGAACAGGTAAGAAATTCTCCGATAAACTGTTCCATTATTTGATCAGAAAGTGTTACATCTATGAATTATTTTTTTACTTAGGAATCCATCTGTGACCATTGCTACCACTCGTCTGGCTCCTTCAGGTGTAAGTTGGGCTGATAAGGTGAAAGCTAACCATGGAGCTAAAGCTGCCACTCCAGAGCTAGCAACTACACAAACCTGCATGCCAACACCAGTGCAGAAGTCATCACGGAGAAATGGCAAGTGTCTTTCAGTGAGCTATTATCTAAAATTATTGTTATGGCCCAGCTATTGAAAAGTTAGTTCAATGTGAGATGAATTATTTCATAACAAAAATAAATCGTCAAAATCACAACTTTGTTGTTAGAGTACACCAATTTAGTTTTACATAAAATAACAGTAAAATTAAATTAATGATCAAAATGTAGGTTCTTCCAGCATTGCTTTTTCAATGCTGCTGTTGAAGTTGAGGAAGATTTCCCTCAGTAAATGTGTTTTTTCAAGTGCTGATAACTTTGCATTGACTAGTAACCTACCTGACACCTCATATAGGAAAAAAAACTGTGACTAAACTTTTGGTTTAATGAAACTACTATTTACCTTTCTTTAAAACACCTTCAGAGGTTTGTTTTCTAAACTGCTTCATGGACATCAGGGATCACAACTTAAAAGCAAAAAGTGTTTTGATTCTCAGGTTCAGAAATGTACAAATGGCCCCGAAAGAATAATCTTTGATATTTTCCAAAAGAGCTTGAAGATGTGTGTCCACAGAGACTCACGCACTAGACCTATGCTAAAGAAGTGATAATGGATGGCTTGTTCTTTCTCTGAAGAGTTGCCACACTATATTGTAGTTCCTTTCCCTTTGTTTAAAGAGTGTCCTTGGAGAAGCTTTTAATTCACAGCCTTTTGCTCTAGAAAAGATCGTTTCACTGGAAATAGTAAAAAAAACAGACAAAAACTTTGCCTTTTGCTTTATGAACTTTCTCTCTCTCTGCCAGTATATATTGGGGCCTTGGAGTTTTCTCCAAAGATTGTTTTCCCCATTTATCTTTTAATTTATTGACCCAGTTTTCCTTATGCAAACACAGCGTTGAGATAGAGGAAGTGGATATCCCTCCCCCCCCAAATAATTTAGAATCCCATTTCTAATATATATAGTATCTTAAAGAAAAACTACTAGAAAAGAAAGACATACACTTAGTGTTGGTAGTAAAAATTATGCACCTTATATAGAGCTGTACATTTCCATGGTGTTTTACAAAGGTCAAACGTATTTACAGCCTCAAAGTATCTTACAATTTAAATTAATTCAGTTTTGTAACTGCAGTTTCATATGGTCAGAAAAGAACAGTCGAAAGCTTACTCATTTCTTGTCTCACATCCATTTTGTCCTGCTATTTTATTAGTCTATCTCCCTGAGCATCATTTTAAAATTACCTCCTGTCTCTAGTGTCACTTCTACTCAACAGTTTTTTTGTTTTTGGTCTAGCATTTTTATGTATTCTTGACATCATATGTATAAAATGGAAAACTGATAAATTGCAGCTACGACATGACAGGACTCCAGTGTGGCATATGATTTATTTCAGTGATATATGTGATTTTCATATAAAAATAAAATTAATTAATATATAGGAGAAGTGAGGAGCAGCAGATATCACCAGCTTTTTTTTTTTTGGACATATATGAACTATACCTCATACAGTAGCTGAAGAAGTCTGATTTATGCCCAGGAGACTGAGCATTCTGACCCATATTAGAGCTGCAGTACTTTGAGACTGCTGTGAAAAATGGAAAACTTTGAAGGAAATCATCTCAAACTACAAGTTTTAAATGAAATGTGTCTGTTTTAAAACACTTTACAGATTCTTTACTGTCATGAGGTGCCATCTCCTGAGGAACAAAATAAAGGAAAACTACACTCAGCATAAGAATATTTACATGCTGGAAGGGAGAGAAGTGCAGTCTGTTGCTGCTTGATCTAGTATATGCCAACTTTTGAGTTGCATACTGGAAAAGGTTCCTATAAGATGATGAATCTATTTAGACTGTAAACTCCTTGGTTAGGGACTGGGTTTATACCATGCCAAACATTATGGGTTCTGTATGATTGTGGTCTCTAGACACTACCGCATTACAAATAATAGACTGAAGAGTTTGGTGGTGAGCAGACAGTAAGATAGGAATTCCTATCTAAGGAATAGGAAAAGGGGCTATAAATTCCGACCTTTCTGAGAGCCCACTACTGGAGGAAATACAATGATTTTCAAAGCTTGGTCTGTTTGTGAGAATTGTGTATTTTTTTTGTTTCCAATTGTTACATTTTTGTAACTAAAAATTGAATGTTTTTTGGAAATCAGCTACTACTTGTGCTTGAAGTGTACCACCACTGCTTCATATCTACCTGTTACTGACAGCATCTTTGATTACAACTCTTTCAGCTTTAATAAAGATCTAATTTATTTCTCATTATCTCGGCAAAAAGAAAACGCATCTATCATACCTCCCCATCTCAGTGGATTCCCATTCTTGGGTGCATCCTTTCAGGATGTGATTCTTTGCTTCCATAACTTCAAATTTCTGGGTCGTTGAAGCACCTGTCATACATCTATTAAAAAAATACCACAGTAATTGTATAGTAGAAGCGAGGCTGAAGGAACTTGTTAAAGAGCACTTTTCATTCCTCAGCACATCAATTCACAGAAGCATAAGCAAAGGACACTGTGTCTGAAAGGGGGAGGAGTGATGAAAGACAAGCCATGCAAAAGGATATTTATATTGTCCTGATAAAAGTGACAGGCTGTTCTCTCAAAGAAACACACATTAAATAAAAGGTTGATAATAGAAAGAACGGGTTTACAGCTATCATTTGAATTGCTTCTTGTAGCCTGCAACTAAATGAGAATATGTTTAAATGTTGTGTTTAAGTTTGAATTAGCTTCTTCTCTATAGTTCCTAAAACAGATGCAGCTGACTTAGATTTGGCTATTAATGTTGCAGAACAGATGCTGGCTGAACATCCCAGGAGACGGAAGAAATTCTTACTTCATAGGAGCAAGAAAAGAGGTGGGACTATCTTGTTCAGAGAAATCCACGGTCTTAAAAAGAAGCTCAAGAGGGGCTGTAGACTCTTCCTATAGCAGTGGCATATGGGTACCATGCTTGTACAGAAAACACTTTGTGCTTAAGACTTAAGCACAAAGTACCAGGGAATGGTTACTTCTTGTTACACTACCTAAATTTTGATTCTTCTATTGGTGCACCAGCTCATGCTGAGTACAGATTGTACTCAGTACAGTTACTCAGTATTGTACTGAGTACGCTCATTGTTGAAATACTTGAGAGGATTTGTACCCTGCATCTTAGTTTTATTGGACCATCTAAAGGGCCCTGCTCTGTCACTGATATTGCTGAGCCACTGAACAGTCTCTGAGTCCTCCTGGGGCAAACTTGTAGGTGTATCGATGAGGATTTGGGTTTCCTCTTGCTTTTTCTAGGGCACTTCACAGTCTTAATCCATATCAGGATTTTTCATCAACAACCTGTGTCTTCAACACTTCAGGGTTTCAAGCCCTGTTTACTCCCCTCACCCAATCTTTCCATCTGTGAACTTTGGCTCAGCATGCTATCACTGCATGTCACAGGGTGCACCTGTCACCACTGGGCTGATGTCTCCTCCTGGTCACTCTGAGGATTAGCTCTTGAGACCGACACTCCCATCCACAGATTGCACACCATCACTCCGATTCTGGTCTCCAGCTCCTCTCTGTCCAGGACCCTCAGTATCTCCTTCGTGACTTAGGCCTCTGGCTAGGTCACTCAGCATTCCCCCTTCCGGGGTTCAGTCCATCAGCAGTCCTAGGCAGCCTCCCATTCACTGCCTCAGTTCTACACCACACCCTTTTGTGGCTGGTAGGGGAACCTGGGCCCACCGTCTTCTCTTGGTTCCAGTCCAGGGACCCTCAGCTCAGCAGTTCTGGACTTCCTCTCTCTGCCTTCACTGCTCCTTCCCTAGACTGCTTCCTACATTTTGGTTCCCCTTCTCTCTCTGCATGTACCAGCTCCAAGAACCCTCCTCCCCCTTTCAAGGGAGTGACTGCTGTGTGCCTTCCTGCAGCCTTTCCCAGCAGCCTCCAAGCACTCCTCCCTCTTCCCAGGGAACGAATGCCCTTTTTCAGCAGCCCCAGTCTGTAGCCCTCTACCTGGCTTTATAGGCCCTGCCTGTTCCTGCACAGGTTGGCTTGCTTGCAATCACTTAGTTCTCTGTCCTGGCTCCTCCTTCAGGTGCAGCCTGGGCACTTAATTGGCCTACCCGGCTATCTTAACCCTGGACAGTCCTGCGTGGGATGGAGACCCCATCATGCCACACTTCACCATGTCACTTGTCTCTCTTTTTCCACCTTGCTTACAGATGTGTAAGAAGGAAGATGTACCAGAAGCTTTTCTTTAAGTTTGCCTATTGTAGAGAGAGAATATCCTTTATGGACATGCGTAACTACTGTGGAAAGGTGGAGCTTGCAAAATCATTTTCAATCTCTGTGGCGCATGCTCTAAGACCTGAAATGCCTGTGTTACTTGCCTGTGTCAAGGTTTCAATTCCCTTAGTAGTATAATGTGCTATCCCAGGGGACTTGGCACCGATTCTTCATAGAATGTGGCATCGCTGTCTTTAAAGCACCATGTTCAACCCATTTAAAGAAGTGACAGGTTATCTCCCAGTTTGTGACTTCTGTTGTCCTCAATACCTATTGGCAATCCCTAAAATCTTCAAGAACCCAGCTGTGAATAGTATGTAAACAGGTACGCAAGCCAAAAGATTCTCAGATACAACAATAGGAAATATTGCTGTAGCAGAACAGCTTTGATAGAGATGTGGTTCTTTGCAGCAATTTTGGTGCTTAACAGCACTGACCTGACACTGGATGGAGTCCTCAGTTCCATGAGAGGCCTGAATGCACTGGACTGAATTCATTAGTAGATGGCACAGCTGACAACACATATATCTGCAGTGATTGTCTTAATACTAGTGGTTTTGGCACCAGTTTCAACTCTCCAGTTTCCTTCCCTGACATAGCACCTGTGACATCTATTTAAGGTGAACTCTGATGATGAAGATGATCAAGATGTGTGTTATTGGGATATTGAAGAAACTGGTGACTCCTTATAGATCATCTGTATGTGTCTGTAACTGCAGGGGAAGAGGGCAAAGGGAATGGCTGTTCTGGAAGATCCAGCCTTTGCCCATATTTTTGAAGTAGGCAGCTAAAGTTTCAAGCATTAATTTAGTCCCTTTTTAAAAAATGCAAAGAACTGAAGCTGACCACGATGTGGGTCAGGTTCAGCTTTTGAACAGAGTGATCTGGTTATTGTATTCTATTCTGGATATAATAGAGAGCAGACTGAATTTTATTCTGTTGACGGGATCAAAAACTTGTTTGGAAGCAGAATTTTACCAGCTTTTCTATTTTTTGTACAGACAGACAACTTCAAGCTAAAACCAGGGACCGACCGTTAAATACACGTAAAACTGAGATTCCCTTCACCAGGCCAAATTAATAAAAAATGGTTTGTTTTGCCAGTTCTGAAATGAGTGACAAGCAAATTTTACTAATTTTACATTGTGATATTCAGAGATATTTTTTTTCTCTATACTATGTACTGGATTCCGGGAATCAGTTAGTCCCTCTCCAAAAAGTAGACAACCAGGCCTGATAGCCTTTCATTTTCTTATTACATCAATTTTCAGTTTTTGGCATTCTAGTCTTAGCTAAGACGAAAGCTGTACCCCTCTTTCTCTTGGCTGTGTACACCTTGTGCTGGCAACAAAGAGGAGAGTGGTGTAGTGCTGCTACAGGGAATCCTCTACTACCTGGATCCACTGTATTTAAGTCTGTGTGTTGTGCTGGCAGACTGGGACCTGAGAATTGGACCCAATATCTTCTCCTGTTGTTAGAGAAATGGGAAAGCTGCAGCTCAAATTTCAGGTACTTGGGTTGGCAGCAGCCCATTCCAGTTTTCCAAAAAGTCCTCCGTCAAAAAGGGAAAAGTCATTGTGAAATATTTCTAATTTAAAAGCAAACTTTTTAAAATAAAAATAAACTTGGTAAAGGGCATCAAAAACCTTTCATTTTCTTCATTTCCCTTTTACCTAGTAGGTCAGATGCTCGGTTTTGTGGCATGACTTCAAATTTATCTATGTAGATCTTTTTCATGACTGCTGCTTACTCATATCCAAGATGGAGGAATCTGTTAAGACATTAACAGATCTGTCGGGATCTGTTTTGATCCCGTCAACAGAATCTGTTAAGACATTAACAGATCTGTAGCTCACGAAAGCTTATGCTCAAATACACTGGTTAGTCTCTAAGGTGCCACAAGTACTCCTTTTCTTTTTGCAAATACAGACTAACACGGCTGTTACTCTGAAACCTGTTAAGACATCGTTGAAGGAGAAAAGAAGGTTACTTAATTTTAACTGGAATTCTCAGAATATACTGCCTCCACAGTTGCCACAAATGTTTGTCTTGCCAGGTGACTTTATGGGGATAATATTTTCAGATAATTCCAGTTACAGGTCAATAAACACATTTTCCCAAAACTCTTAGTTTTATACATTTTCAAAATTTAGAAGATTAATCCAAGTATAAATGTCAAGAATATGATTCTGTAATGTGTAGTAGCCCAGTGTTAGTTACCTTTTGATTCTCTGTCTCCTTGTTTAGTCTCTTCTTTCTCCTCCTGCTCTCTCCATGGCTTGTGCAACAGTTGCCCACTCACTTTCCCTTGCTGTATGTCTGTGTTTTGTATATGTATCTTATTTTCCTCCTTCCCCTCTGTATCTTTCTTACATCCTTCCCTCTCCTCTTTCCCTTTCCTTCTTGCCCTTCCTGCTTTGACTCTGTAGGCCAGAATAAATTGAGATAGAATATTTTTTCAATCTCTAAAGCTCTAGTCAAGAGTGGTTTGTTCACAGAACGTGATATTTGTCAGGTTTACTTTTGGCTCAGCTCTACTCCTGCAAGCTTGATCTTGCTCCTGGTTACATGTATGACAATTTCAACAGACCTCCACTAGGAGCAAATTGGAGAAATATCACCACAGATATCAAGGCATAGTTTGTTCCCTTCTAGGTTGTCAAAGCAGGATTTATTGCACATTAAGGAGACATAATCCCTGTTGGAAATTGTACTTCTCTTCTTTTCCGTCATTTAAAAAAAAAAAGCGTTGTGAATAGTAGTTTTACTAGATCCCATGATTTAGGTCTCTTAACAATTTTACCGATATCCATTGCCTGAGTCAGCTCTTGGGGAGACAATGCTTCTTCTTATGACTGTTAAGATTTATTGCTTCTTACAGCATTGCATTTTCTCTGTATTTTCTTTACTACTCTTTTTCTTTCCTATCTTCTGTCCTATATTCCTATCTTTGGGTTACCAGAAGTTGTGGGAAAATAATTTCTGTTCCTACTGGGCTTATGCTTCCAGACACTCATGCATTCACAGCTCTCCATAGTGCCACTATAGTACCTACAGTAATATTATATAGATTTAAAATATAATAAAGGTTACCTGGGACTTAAAGTTTACTAATGATGGGGTAAAGTCAGGTAGGCTTAGGTAATAAATCACTGGCAAAGAAATGTTTAAGTGAGCACAAATCTCATAAGGCAGAACTTCTTGGAGTATTGCATATACTTGGATAAATTTATCTTATTGAATAAGGCCCAAATGACTGTGGGGGCCTGAAGATAACAGATGGCTTGTGACTTCCATGTAATACCAGAGCAAGCAGAGACAGGGAAGTTCAAGTAAAACTAGAGAATGAATTATTCATTAACGAAACTGGGCAAGTAACCAAATTCAGCATTTGATACTTAGCACGTGGAGAATGTCTAATGTGCTCTGTGAAAATAATTCAAGGCTTCTGAAAACAATTGTTACGCACCAGGGATAATACCTCGGTGAATGTTAATTTTTGCTCAAGATCAAGAGCTATGTGAGCTAATGTCAATGAAGATATTAGTGCTGCAAAATTTGTGTTAAAATAGCATTGTTTGCAGTGGTTGAGAACATAAGACGGTGATGGGTGAATTAAAATGGAAAAAGATTTTAAAAAATAAACTTTTGAGCACAGGAATGGGTGTCCGATGTCTAGTATAAAGCTCCAGTTTCACACCTGTACCTAATAAATAAATCAGCAGAATATTGTTATAAAGGTATATTTTATATTGGAAGAGCCTCATGAAATAGAGCATGTCAGTGGATATAATGTACTCTGAGTGTAAAGAAATTCTGTCTAAAACTCTTTTAGTGCCTTGTCCTTCCTTATTTATCTTAAAGGTGAACTTTAAAACATTTTTGTTTTGTTTTTATTTTACATATGGGGGATAGAAAATATTATTACTAAAACTTTTCAAAATTGCATGACATACTTAAAATCTGCCACTTATCTGATCCCTTTTTGGCCATTTCCATTGTGCTTGTTGATTTTCTGATTGCTCTTTTGTCCCAGAACGAGTGCGCCACAACTAAAGGTGGGGCAGAATTTGTCTGGGTTTACCCAAAGAAGGGCAGCTCTGCTTTGTGGGTGGGGGGGAGAGAGAAGGTTAGAAACTGCTGCAAAAGGTGCTCGGTGGTCAGAATGATGTATTTTTGGAGTATCGTGGTGATTTAGATGCAGTCAGCCGGACTTCAGATGACTTTAAAAGATTTTTTTTTAAGTTAATAATTTTGGAATTATTTATGTGCTGAATGTCTTTCCTATGCTTGCTTTTGCGCATAATTGTAGGGCAATGGTTCCCAAACTGGCATTTGTGAAATGTTACAGGGGGTTCTCGGGGAAAAAATTCCCTAATGGTGGACAGAGCTGTTCCTAGGGATCCCAGGCAGCACGGGACCAGCAGCCTGGAACCCCTGGACTGCCAAGAGCTAAGCAGATCAAAGCAAGCATATCTATCACACTGAAAGGATTTAAACTTCAAGACTCCTTATAACAAATGAAAAAGGAGGTGGATATTTTTTGCTGTTTTTAAAATTAAATAGGCAGCTAGTATTGGTTTTAAAATTATTACGAAGTTTAAGCTTTGTTGTAACGTGCGTTGTGTGCTTGGACTGCTCAAGACCTGAATGCTTGTGTAGGAGGAACTCTTTGAGTTGGCTTCTTAAATACCTTCATGCTGTTTCATATCTGATACTCCTTGATGAAACACAGGAGCCTTGTCTTATAACAGGCTTATTCAAAAGCGATACAAGCTACGAAAGTGAGATCTTGGAAGAGTGTTGCCATTTTCATAATGTAATAAAAATACCATAATGATAAATAATAATTAATAATAAATAGTGTGTAACAAGCATGATATAAAAATAAATTTTATATTTCCAAGATCACTGCTTTTATAATTTATACTCAGGTAAAGGAGAAAATCCCTGGAAATATTCATTTTTAGGCGGGGGTTCGAGAGACCTGACATTTTAGTGAAAGGGGTTCACAGGTTGTTAAAGTTTGGGAACCACTGTTGTAGGGTTAACTAATTTCCCCTCTATCTTTGCAACTCATCTGTAAGTTTGTATTTTCTTGTGTTTTTATTTGACATTAGCACGGATAACTTTGTGGCGTATACCTTTTTTCATCCCTTGCAGAACTTAGTGGAGGACATTGAGGACTCCTGACGGTGTTCTACTCTTATCTCTTCTCTTTATATTAATATTTATCTGGAAATTGACACTAAGTAGTGTATTTTTATCATCCAAGTTGAGCGAAATGCAAAAAGTAAATAAACAGCATACATAGAAAAATATTAAATTATATTTTCAAAAATATTTTCACTTTTAATAACATAAGGCCTGAGTCTTGCAAGTGCATCTGCATGGGTAGATCCTTGTGCTTGAATGGAGGCCCATTGAAGTCATTGGGGTCTATACGGATGCAAGGGTCTGTGCACCGAGCTCTTATTGCAGTATCAGGGCCTGAGAATGGTAATAGAAACATAAATAAGAAAACCTATTGTTAAAAAGTATGTGTACATAACTCCCTCACCCCACCCCACCCCCCAAAAAAAAGTACAAACACTAATGCTCAGGAGTAACTTGGCTCATGAAAGTAGCCCCTTGGAAGTCAGTGGAACTACTCCCACTAGTAAAGTATGTACGTAGGAGTTTTCAGAATGGGGCGCAGGATTTTTAAACTGATAGTGTCCCTTGGAAGGAAAATTATTCTTGAACAGTGTCTAATAGGTTTCCATATATTTTTAAAGAGAAAAGGTGTTCTTGTTGTGCAAGAACAATTTAGACAATAAAATTGCTAATTGTGGCTTTGCAAAATTGTATTTATAAAGCTATTTCTTGGTGGGGTGTTTTTGTTTCCTTGTGTAGAAAGAAAGGATGCAGAAGGATGGGAAACAGTTCAGCGTGGAAGGCCTATTCGATCTCGATCTACAGCTATAGCGACAAAAACTCCTGTAGCTGCAGAATTGCTAAGAGCTAAAGATGACAGTGACAAAGAAAATGTAGTCTTCAGACCATCAGAAAGTAAACAGAAGAATTCATTCGATGAAGATAGTGCATCCAAAAATATAGAACCTCTGCAGAAAGATTCTTTATATCTGAGTGAGCATCCTCTTGCTGAAAGGACTCAGGTAAGTGTAATTTGAAACACTTTTTTATCTTTATTATTGTAATATTTTACTAATGTTTATATAGAAACATTAATCGAGGTTATTATGTACAGTGGTTTAGTCTTTAACCTGATCGAAAGGTTTTAAAATATTTTGAATTTTTATCAAATCCTTTTTATTATGGTTAATATACAGAATCTACATTGTGAATAACATTAAGGTGGCGACATAAATTGACAGTGATAAAAAACTCTTATCAGATAGAGATGCACTATATATTTTACAATGTCTAGAAAAACAACTGGGCGTGGTTATGGTAGTAGGCAACTTAGTTGAAGTCAGTGGATCTGCTCACCCATAAGGGCTGCAGGATTGGACACATTTGTTGCAACAATAACCAAAATGTTTTAATGTTTTTGAAAGTATAAAATCAGATTTGGCTTTAACAGTAGCTCCTAGCGCAGACAACCAAATATTAAAAAGTAAAGTATATTAGAAAAATTATCTGTATTCACTTATGTTCGGTGAGTGCCTGATTATGCCATCAACACTACATACCCACGTTGAGGGTGGTTCAGAGCTCCAATGCCTCCTGGAGTTTCCTGGCTCATGGAGTATGTCCCTTGCCACTCTCTTTAGAGGAGTGAAGCCTAATCTTCCCTTTGTGGCTGACATCTCTGATGGATGATGTTGAAGGGGTGGTATAAGGAGTGAAGCTTAATCTTCCCTTTGACACTTACTGTGGCGCCTCCCCACTTCCTCTGGTGGTGACTAGAATCCTATGTGGGGGGCGTGAGCAGGTAAACAGTCTCTGTACTCTAAAAATATATGTTTTCACTAAAGTGATTGCAATTTTACCTGCTTTCCATGTAGGGAGGTGATAGAAATAGCAAAGGAGTGGGAGAATCCCTTGCTTCCTCTTGTTAATTGCATCCGTGCAAGGGCCAGGCAAAATCTGGCCATAAATTTAATCCTTTGCGTGGAAATGAACTATTGTATGAGCATGGTATAAAACCCTAGTTGAATAGGTATTACAGTGCAGTCAAAAGGAATGTGTTTTACTAGAAGTTCATGTAATAATATCATTTGTAACAGTAGTAATGTTGGTGGAAATTATTTGCTGGTCAATATAGTTTGGTTAAAATATTATTGTTAGGAAAGCTTAGTAACAAAGATATGTATGGCAGTTTTCTCCATTGTTGTATTGAAGTCTTTTGCTGGAGTGGGAATGTTTGTGTTTTTCAACATTATTTCATAAAATTACCATTTATTTTGCTATATAACTATTGATTTTATCATAAACAGTGTTGACTACACTGTAAACATCAGTCAAGCTAATATAAATATTGCAAATAAGTATATTAGCAACAGTGACTGGAATATAAATAATGTTGATGCCAGTATAAATGAAATTGTGTAAATTATGTTTAAGTCATTAGAACGATAACCCTTAAAGTATGCATATTGGTTGATTTAACAATATGAGGCCAAATTTTGCTCTCATATTCACCCATGTAATCCCACTGATTTAACAGAGTTACACTCAAAAAAGCATACCTGCTCCTGCCTCTGCAATTCTGGATGGTCTTTTTTGAAAAAGGACCAGTGTTATCATTCTACATAAGGAGTGGGTGGCAGGGTTCTGGAGAACCCACAGTATGTGTGTAGTTTAGCTCTGGGGGCCATCTTTTTGTGAGAATGCAGGAAGTAGGTGGGTTGAGGAAGGGGTAGGGCCTGGAGCTCTGCCACTATACCAATCCTCCCATCCTCTTCCCTGGAGGGTAAGGGCTCACATAACATATTCCAGCTTTTATTTATATACCGGTATTAACACTGAATACATCTTATAGCCCTTCTGCCAATTCTGCTTTTACTTATACAGCAGTGCAACCACACTGACTTTGGTGAGGTCACAAGTTCCTGCATTTTGCTGCTTTGGGGATATTTCCACCCCCTCAAATCTCACTTGCTTCTCTCTGTGGAAAAAGGGAGAGGAGATTGTAGGCCTTAATAAAAGAATGTTGTACTATATTTCTACATGTTATCCTTGTCTTCTTTTCTCAAAGTCACCTCTTCTACGTTTTTGTTTTCCCAGACCTGGAACCTAGAATTAACTCCCTGGTTTTGAGCTACGTATGCCCTGATTTTTCAGAGTACTTAACATTTTATATCACTTTATGTGTTCAGAGCAGTGTACAGTTGCAGTTGTGCGTTCTCAGCACTTCTGAGATGTCTCAATTTGGGTACCCAAAATATAATGAACACCATTAGTGGTCAGCTGTGAAAATTTTGGTTTATGAGACTTGCCCAACATCACATAAGAACTTTGGCAGGGGGAGGAATAGAATCCAGTTCCCCAGAATGGAATTTAACTGCTTTAACCATGAGACCATCCTTTTTCTTCCTGCAGTTCCTTGCTTCATTTACTACATACAGACCTTCCAACTTCTTCAACAAATGAAGCAGGTATCCTGCAGACAACAGCCTCATTCACTATACAATGCTGATTTATTCACTGAGCACATTCGGGCCTATGCACCAAATGAGGCATGGTTCTGTACTGAACATGTGCAAACTGAGATTTTTAAGAGGCTTATAATATGGCCCAATTTGGCCACATTTTTATGAGGATAGCAAAAGACACATCCCTGGCACCAGGGAGACCCCTGCTGCTAGATATCCCTGCTCCAAAGCATGGAGACACAAGGGTCTTTTAGCTGAAAGCTTCACACACACAAAAAAACATGTGCTTCAGCCCAGCACTTTCAACCTGTAAGTTATAAGTAGATGGAAAATGTCAGGCAACTTTAACTAAAGCCAGCACTACTTGCATCACATAAAAATACTGTACTTAACCCTCATATTGTATTAGCTTCTTTTTCAAGCAGATATTTGAAAATCAGTGTGTTGCATCTAACTTATTTTGTAAATTTGTCTGTTATTAGTTCACAGCACACACACTAGAAGATACCAGAAACACTGGCAACGTGGTTTTACAGGACAGTTCTTGCTTACAAACACCTTCTGAAATGCCTGCAGTTGTCATAGACACTGAACTTACTTCAGAAAGTCTACAGATTGATGAATCTCCCTCCTTGATCTCTGGTAGTAAAGAACAACATGAAGCATTAAAAAACAAGATAGAAAGTGAAATGGACCCCTCAGACATTTCAAATGTGAGTGCTGCCAGATTGGTAAGACAATTTACAAGAATTCTGAATAAATTACAAAGATATGCCTTGGGTTTCTCATTCTCCTTTGCACAATATTTAATGTTAGCCTACTACAGAATTTGTCAAAAAGTCCACAGAGCACCAAATGTATATAGTATGGCAAAAAAAATCATTTTTTCATATTTCCAAGCACATTCAGCTCTAGAATTGATTACAGTAAGACATCCGAGTTAGGCTAAAATACAGGAATGCACTGGTTTGGATTACAAAGTTCTTTCTAGATATATGATCAGAAAGATTTTTCACTTCCTTTCGTAATTGTTGATTTTAAACAGGCCTCATGTTTATTGTTATAGTAATTCCACTAATTGCTTGGATTGGAAGAGCTTGAGTTATTGAAATTCATTAGGAAACCAATATGGGAATGGTCAGACTTCTTTCCCCACTAAAATCAACCCATTCCTTTTCTTATGTCTTCCTATGCAACTTGCAGGCATGGCTGACATATTGTTTGGGGCCATGTCTTACCAGGGAGCTTGTACAATATAAAATATTTCCTTATAATTGTTTCTTTATTTTCTTTGCTTATTCTGAAGTATAAACAGCATAAAGAATATGTTTTATCTGATCCTTTCAACAATTTGGTACTTTAAAAAAATGTGCCTTAGTGCTGATGTAACAATCTGAATAATAATTTTACTGTGTACAATTTAAACATGTTGCATACTGTTCAAACAGAACTTGTTCTTGTCTAATAAAGCAAGCTAGAAACTGTTTTAAAATCTCTGACATTAATCTCCTATACATTATCATCACACACAGATGTCACTTTGTAGCAAGAGGACTTCCAAGAACAGGCTGCTAATCTTAATTATAACTTTATTTCATGATACTAAGTAAAATACTTTTGACATGCAAGACCATTTTCTAATAAAAGGTGTCACCTTGTTCTTGGCTTTGGCAGAGGGGCCAAGGAATGACTGGTCATGATGAATGAATTATCCGTTCACCTCCTAGGGTTTGCCTACATTAGGAGATTTTGCTGAGTATAAACATGGCTTCTGATAATTGAGTTAGCGGACATTATGTTGGCCATGACTTTTTGGCCTGTGTAGTAGATAAAGACAAGTTATGTTCATCATCATGTAGCTAGTCATGGTTAAACACTGATCCCTGATCCTCTCATGGAATGGCCATGCTGTATGCAAAGTACAGTTATTGTCACAAATTTTGTATCGAGAGAGTAACAAGTTTTTGTAGTCCTCATAGCTTGTTTTTGGCTTGAGAAGAATCCCATACCAAATCAGCAAATATCTAAGTGGATATTCAGTTCTACTGCAGTTTATAAAAAAAGAACCTCTTCTTGTTCTAGAACTCTCCAAAGTCATTCTACCAGAAATACTGCAGCTTCCAAAGCACATGTATTACCTGGGTTCCTATACTGCAGATCTGCAAGGATGCCACTTAAAACTGAGTTCAGACTTCCAACAGTATTGTCTAGATTCAGAGGCTAGATTAAATTCCTCATTTGTAAAGTGTTCCTGAAGATCATTTTGATATCATATTGTAAGAAATGTTCTTGTAGCTATTTAATTAATTAGTTTGAAACTGCTAGCATTTTAGCCTGTTTTCTTAATTCATTAAATGTATCCTTTAAATGTACCACAACTAATATAGAAAATGACTGTAAATTGACCTAAAAATGTAACATGATCCATATTTAGAAAGCTACTTATTTCTAACCTTCTGGTCCAGTTCTAATTTTTGATTTTCTATACAGTCTATGGCAGAAGTCCTTGCTAAAAAAGAAGAGTTAGCAGATCGCCTGGAAAAGGCCAATGAAGAAGCAATAGCTAGTGCCATTGCAGAAGAGGAGCAGTTAACTAGAGAGATTGAAGCAGAAGAAAACAATGACATTAACATTGAGACTGACAATGATAGTGATTTTTCTGTGAGTTTTCAGTCTGTTTTAAAATGACTAATATTAGTTATCAGAATGTAAGCATAAAATTTAATTTCACATTCCTACTTGCTATATACAGTTTATTTTATATGCAAATATAATAACTGTTTATACATGTATTACATTATCATGTAATAACTGTGAAAACTATATCAATTTACAGAAATTTGTGTAAGATATTTTTAATTTTACTGTGTTTCGCTTTCTGTATTGTATATTACTGTAGGTGCTAATTAGTCAGCAAGACCAACTAGCTGGCAGAACATCTAATCATTTTATCTGGAAAATATACTACTTTTAAAGAAAGCAGAGATGGAAATTGAAGGGAGATGTTTAGTATGAGTCTTTGATCAGCACATTTAAGGTTTTTTAGTTGTCTTAAAGAGAAAATCTCCTGTCTTGCTGGGGTCTGTTTTACCCTCAAAATTTCAAAGAAATATTAACATTAATAGCCAAAAGCTATTAATGTAATATTTACATTAATAGCCAAAAGCTCAATTTTGCTGCCATTACTCACGTTGTGTAATACCTTACTCCATGAGTAGTCTCATTGAAATCTATGTGCCCACTCATGAAGTAGGGTACTACTCAGTGTGACTGGCAGTAGCAGGAAGAGGCTGTAAGTGACTATGGGAATTAGGTAGCTAAAACCCCACACATCATCTTGAAAACATAGAGATTAATTATTTAAGGCCCAATTGTGGAAATACGCATTTGAGTGACTTTCCATAGAATTTAGTTGAGTGAGACTACTCATCTGAGTAAAGTGATTCATGTATATTTGCAGGACTGGATCCTTCGCTTGTGAGCTCTTTAGGGTAAGGATTATGTTTATATAGTACCTAGCAGAGTGGAGCCCCAGTCCCTGCTGGGGCATTTGGACAGTTCTGTGAAACTCATAATAACTATAATACAAAACTCAGGATTCAATAAACATGTTGTAGTATTTCATGGTAGTTTATCAGTCTTCAGAGATGTAAAATGCTTAGTAGCAGCTGGAGCGGTCATTTGTAATTAATGACAGGTTTCAGAGTAACAGCCATGTTAGTCTGTATTCGCAAAAAGAAAAGGAGTACTTGTGGCACCTTAGAGACTAACCAATTTATTTGAGCATAAGCTTTCGTGAGCTACAGCTCACTTCATCAGATGCATACTTTCCACAGTATGCATCTGATGAAGTGAGCTGTAGCTCACGAAAGTTTATGCTCAAATAAATTGGTTAGTCTCTAAGGTGCCACAAGTACTCCTTTTCTATTTGTAATTAAGGCATTATTCTGCAAATAAAAATTACACAAAAAATGAGTTCTCTAGGGATTCACTCTATTTCTGCAGGGGTATCTCTTTTATTGCCCTTAATCTTGAGTCTAAGTTTATACAGCATTATAAAATCCACCCTTTTGCTAGTATAGGATTGTGTAAAAGAGTTATGTTTTGATTTCATGGATCATTTTGTGAAATTTCAGGCTAGCATGGGCAGTGGAAGTATATCTTTCTGTGGCGTGTCTATGGACTGGAATGATGTCCTGGCTGATTATGAAGGTAAAGATTTATGTATTCATCTAAACACAGAAAATAACAAAAATAGTTTATGAAAGAGACTTTTTTTTCATACTCAGTTATGCTTTTGGAATAGAAATGACTCCCAAATCATTGAGAAGTTCAGAGTGATGTTATTTGGATATTGTTGGACATTATATTTTAAATTATGTAAGTGATTGTTTCCTTTCTGTGCAGCTCGTGAATCATGGCGTCAAAATAATTCATGGGGTGATATAGTGGAAGAAGAACCTGCACGTCCACCAGGCCATGGAATACATATGCATGAGAAACTTTCTTCACCATCTCGCAAAAGGTCTTGGAATTTTCAGCTGACTTAACTAGCCAAAATAGAAGTAGATTAAACTGTTGCATGCAGTTATTATGTTGTTAATTTCTTGTTTTCTTTATAAAGTGCTTTGTAATTTGTGGAGAAACAAACTTATTTAAGAGCTGGATATTATTGTTATAAAATTTGTTACATTTGTACTGTATTGTGCAGTAGTTTAAATGCTAAAAGTTCTGCTTTTGAAAGAACAGAACAGCGATAATATTAAATATATTAATCAAACACCTATAAATGAGATTAAATCAAATAAGTTACATTTCAGTGGTATAATGCTTTTTTTACTTTCCTAAATATATTTGGATCGCTGAATTGCTTATAGGATTGTCAGTCTCAGTTCTTTGTCTCATTGGCTTATTTTATTATGTTTATATTAAAAGAACAATAGCAGAATCTAAAAAGAAACATGAGGAGAAACAGATGAAAGCTCAACAGCTGAGAGAAAAGTTACGTGAAGAGAAAACGCTAAAGCTTCAAAAACTGATAGAGCGGGTAAGCTTTCTATAGTTAAAAAGATCCAGTTTATTTTAATTTAGAAGAGTATATTTTGTTCACGTGGTCCAAACACATACTCGACTATTAAATTCTGAGCTAACTTCAAAATGAACCTTGTCTTCTGGATCTGAGTTAGCAGAATCTTAGTGCATGACACAGGTGACCTGATTTTCTAGGAGGCTTGTATGTTATTATTATTTATATTACCCAAAGTCTCATTCTAGATTGGGTGCCCATTGTACTATGTGTTCTACAAATACATAGGAATACACAGACTTTTCCCCAAAGATCTTGCCAGAGTAAAAAGAAAAGAAACAGGAAAAAGGACAGGGGGAGGGGGCGAAAAACACATAAACCACTGATTGGGGTGATGATGAGCACGACAGACAGGCCAAGGGGAATGAAATGGTGAATAAGGAATAAAAGGGAAGAGGGACATTGTTGGGGATGAAGAGATGGGTTCGGGAAAGGAAGGAAAAATGGAGAGATCACTGGTAGGTATAGGACTGTGCAGTTATCAGTAAGAAAATCATGTTTATAGTTCAGATTGTAAAAAACAGTCTTCTCATACTGCTAGCATCCAGTGATTGTGCAGATATCTCTCCCTTCCGTGCTGCTCCAAGCTGTTACTGCAGGAGTCCCTGCTGCTTCTAGGGATTGGCTTCATCAGAAGGGCCTGATCTGCTCCCTGTCTGAGGGCTCCTTTTGAGTTTGTTATATTACCTGAAGCAAAAGGCTTTTGTCATACTGTGTACAATACTGCACTGGACTTGTAAAATAGTGTTGACATCATTAAACAGAGTTATTGCCAAATCATTAAGCGCTGTGCGATTTATGAGAAAATCTCACACTAACTCCTTTTTACTCAGAGAACGTGCTCGAAATGCTGAGACATATCAAAAGAGCTCACTTAATTTTAACATTTTTTTACTCAATTCCCTTTGAGCTAGACTGAAGTTACTGCAGGGTTTTGCAGGATAGCATAACTTTGTACTGTCACAAGTGTAGATAAAGGTTACAAAGTAGAAAATACTGGGGAAAATTCAGACATTAATTGCTGTATTGTATTAATAATGTACTAACTCACGGTGTTTAGGAGAAAGATGTGCGAAAGTGGAAAGAAGAATTACTGGATCAGAGACGCAGGATGATGGAGGAAAAATTACTCCATGCTGAATTTAAACGTGAAGTGCAGTTACAAGCAATTGTGAAAAAAGCACAAGAGGAAGAAGCAAAGGTAAGATGTTTGAATAGAAAAACATTTATTATTTGTTGAGTGTGCTCAGGACTATATACAATCTCTATATCAGATATATAAAGGCAATAGGGATCAGACATATGATCACCAGTCAAGAAGATAAGGTTCAGTTTCAGAATGGTGAAAGTTTTCCTTTAAAAAAATCCCTTTATGGGTGAACTTGGGAAGCTTAGTAGAAGAAATGTGTTTTAAGGAGAGATTTGAATAAAGAGCAAGTAGCGCTCTTGCCAGCCTTTGGATAGTGCATAGTACTCTCCCCTCTACACCTGATAGTGCATAATAGCTTTTTCGGTAATTTGCACCCCTGAAGGTTCACAGAAAGAGCCTGTCCTTTTAATTACAATTGTACCTGTAGCTTTGCATGGGATGTGCAAAGTGGGGAAAATGCTTTGTGCTCTCCCTATGCTATTCCCCCACTCTAGGATTAAGGGATAATCTGGTGCTTTAAACGGAGTCCTGTAACATTCTTCTCAAGTTCGTACTAACCCACCGTTCCTTCGCAGTGGTTTGGATTTAGATATGACTGGAATCCCAAACACAAGTAAAGTAGTGACTCATGACTAATGCACTGAACATGATTGAGAGCCCCCAATATACACTTTAAAATGTACTTACCTCCTGGGTCTGTGAAGTACCTCGCTGAAGAAACAAGAATGTAGATTAGAATGTTAATTTTGTACATTAATTAAATGCACTGATAGTTGTGTTCTTAGCTGTTTTTTGTTTTTTTTTTTAAATCAGTAAGGAGTTAGTGCTGTTAAATTATTGGAGAGCATGTAATCAGACACCTTGTAATGGAATCATAGGACTGGAAGGGACCTTGAGAGGTCATCTAGTTCAGTCCCCTGCGTTCATGGCAGGACTAAGTATTTTACATAGTGTATTTATTCTAGGAAGATAGACAAAACATATCAGTGCTTTATAGACTTGAACTAAGGTGGTAGTTGCTGATAAATGCTTTTTGTTTTAGTTTATTGAAGAACTGTTAATAAAGTAACTTAGAAGAAGAATTTATTTTAAAGCTCCTTTTTTTCTGTAACAAAGGTGTCCTCTTACTACTGGAATGTTGTGTTTTATATGTAGTGAAGCTCTGTATCTGAACTTTGATTGATACACCTTTTCAACCTTGTTAATTATTATAATCATGACAAAATTGGTTTAGCAGTTTAACTTAATGGTTAGTTCTGTTACTTAGTCTAGACTCTATTCTAAACTATCTAATTCAGTCTAACACATTTACCTTCATTATTATTTAATTAAACCAGTGTGACTTCTGTAATCATATTAACTAAATCACACTTAACATAATTCCCAACTAAGCAGACGTTTGAAGTGTTGTGTGTATTTAATGCACCTTAGAGACTAACCAATTTATTTGAGCATGAGCTTTCATGAGCTACAGCTCACTTCATCGGATCCTTTTTGCGAATACAGACTAACACGGCTGTTACTCTGAAACCTGTGTATTTAATGTGTGAGATCTGCTGCCTCTTGTGGTTCTTTTGTTCTTGAAGATCAAGGTTAATTGGGTTTACAGAAATACTAGCTGATGTGTAGTACAGTTGAAAGACCATGATGACTGTTGCTGCCCAATTGGTTTTCCAAATTCCCACTGCTTGCTGTTCACTGAAGTGCAAAATCCATTCTGTAAATGTATTCCAGTCCGTAAACAAAGCAGAAAAACCTACCTTTTGTTTGGCCTCTTATTAGTTCCATAGATTTACATCTGCACAATCCTTTTGTGGATATTACACAAATGTAATAGACGGTTGTGTATGACAATGTACTCTTTTATATTCAGTATTTCCTAGTGTGTTCTGTCAATGCTAATAATTTTTTTATTAATAAAAATAATATTTTTCCTCAATAACTTTCCTTCTGAAATATATTTTATTTAAGATTGAATAATAGTGTGCCTTTTCTCAGTTGCAAATACCTTTCTGAAACAAACATTCACTGTGATGCAAATATTACGTGTGTGTGTGTGTGTGTATATATATATATATATATATTAAGGTTCACCAATCTTTTCAGCACTTTTTGAGTACGAAGAGAGGGTAAAAAATACACTTATTTCAAATAAGTTAAAATAAAATAATGATTTGTATAGCACTGAGAATACAAAGCTTAAATTTTTGCATATATTTAATGTAAAAAATTAAAATATCCGAAAAGCACTTAAAAATTGGCTCCTGTGCATCATTTTTCCATGAGTTATTTATCAGTGGCCATTTTAGAATTAAAACATTATGTACTGTTCTACTGTGGATCAATAAAATAGTAAATATTTATGAAATAGATCATAACAGGGTATGAAAGAAAAAGATTATTGAGCTTGATATATTTTCCTTAATTACAAATGTGTATATACCCACTTTTAAAACATTCCATTTTGTGAGGTAAATATCAGAATTTAATAAATCTATAAATACATACAATTTTCAAAGTAAAAGGTGGAAAAGACTGAATGAATCATATAGGCCCTGATCCTACAAACACTCATGCACATGTATAACTTTATTCATGTGGGTGTATTGGCTAGTGCATTATCTGTTCTTGTTTTAAATGTCCCAAATTATGCAGCTTCTATAATTTACCATGAGAAAATTTCCACACTCCAAAACATTTCACTATTGGGAAGATTTTCATGATATCAAGCCTAAATTTAACTTTTTCTTGATAGCTTATCCCATTTCTTCGTTCATACTCCTTGGGCTAGCCTGTTAAACAAATAATGTGTGAGGAAAGCAAGGCCCCCAAGTCAACTTGCTTGCAAACACCGCATCTGATTAATTCCAAAATTTCAGGGAATTGTCTAGGCGTCAATTGGCAGAACCCTATTAGTTTTGGTGAAAATCAGAAAAATTTGATTTCTGTTGGTGGACGTGACAGGAAAGTAAGGCTCATAGAGTGCCCATTTCATGGTTCAAGCAGAGAAATCATTCTAGTACCTCTTGCTGCTTCCTACACATATTATAAACTGCAGCTTAACCTGCTGCTCTCATTGGGTGTATGGCTCAGTCTACAGAAGCAACAAAGTATGTGATCCTTTAGTTATTTGAATATGTTGTCCTCAGTTACACCGAGATTTAAAAAAAAAAAAAAAAAAAGGGAATATCAACTCTCATGCTTCCTTGCTTATGCTGATTTATGTACTGAAATGTGCAACCCTCTGGTAGGAATAAATATAATTTTTGTAATGTCTTCAAGCTAAGAATCTCTGAATGCTTTACAAATGGCTGTGAATTAAGCTTCAAAACATTGCTGTGAGGTAGTATTCCTATCCCCATTTTGCAGATAGAAGAACTGAGGTACACAGGTTAAATAAGTTGCAAGTCAGTAACAGAGAAAGAAACAGAACCTATGTCTCTTGACTCCCAGTGCTTTTTTTTAACTACTTAAGGCCCTGATCTTGCAACTAGATATCAACAGTCTGATCCTTGCATCCCTACAGAGCCTCATTTATTTGCTTTGCTCATTGACCAGCCTTTCTTTGCTCAACTGCTTAGAAGGAATAGGGGTACTGAAAATGTTTTCTGCCCTGGACAGCAAAATGCTGAGGGTCTTTTCTAGATGGGGAGTGGGGTCTGCCCATGTGAATCCAGTTTCAGGATCTGGGCCTAAGTAATGTTTTCTCTCTGTGAACTTTAAACAATAATCCTGGTTGGTGCAGCTGTGAGATAAGGGATTACATCATATAGACCCAAACATTTAAATTGAAATCAGTGGGACTACTCACATGTGTAAAGTGAAACATGAGTAAATGCTTGCAGGATAGGGATCTATGTTTTTATTTAAAAAAACCCCAAACCTAAAATGTTATGTTAGTATATGAGATTGGTTGTAACCCAGAGACAGTTAGTTGGTATTACAGTCTAAAGTAAATTTAATTTTAAAAAGATGATTAAAGGTATTCAGCATGGTACTTAAATATGTGAACAGTCCCCTTACATTCAGTGGAGCTACTTGTGAGTAAAGGTAGGCATGTGCTTTAGTACCTTTCTAAATCAGGGCCTTATAAAAAATAGGGGTTTAGTTTATAGCAGTTCTTGATATGTAGGATAATCTAGGTAAATTATTTTAAAATATGCCTATTTTCTCTCATGTACATCCAAGTCCTTAACAAAGGATAGCATCATATTGAGACTAAACACGAGAATTTTTGATGAAAAACCAGGGACATGTGAAAGGATACACTGTGCTGCAAACCTCTTATTATCCGCAAAAGTTAGAAATGTACCTGGGATAGACTCCACTAAACGGAAAATGTTACTTTAACTCTTCAAATTTCTTGTACTTTTTGGTTTAATTGCAGGTAAATGAAATTGCATTTATAAACACCTTAGAAGCCCAAAATAAACGTCATGATGTGTTGTCCAAACTAAAAGAGTATGAACAAAGACTAAATGAATTACAGGAGGAACGCCAACGGAGGCAGGAAGAAAAGCAAGCACGTGATGAAGCTGTTCAGGTATAATGTAACTTTTCAAGTGCAAAAAATAGTTGCAAAAATACAATAAAAGCAGTATATTTGCTCTTAGTTATGATTACATAATGTATGAAATTTTTTATTTATCTCCTACACTAAATTACAAAAGCAAGATTCCACAGATAACTTCTTTTATAATGCTTCAGGAAGCTAGGAAAAATGTGATTGTTAAAACTTGTACAGGGCTGTTTATACAAATACTGGATAGTTGCGACTCGTCATGTCTTCAATTTTTTAAAGAATTTAGTGGTTTCCTTGTAATGGAATAGCAAATAGGTTTTAGCAATACTGAGGGCTTTATGATGAAAACCTGAAGATATTCAAAGCAAAAGCTGTAGTTAAATAGTCATCATATGCATACTATCTTAAGTATTCCAATTTTATAGGGCTACTTAAACACACAAAGAAAAAAATGTTTGTGTGTTCCTGGAATTCTATATTTTTGACTACACCCTCCCAATGCTAGATTTCTCTAGCTTCCTACATCCGCTGTTTGGCACTGCTTCCTATGTTACAAACCAAAGCATAACTTTGTCTCTTGTGTAAACTCCCTGTTCTTCCGTATACATCCCTCAGATCACCACAAGTATCTTTTGGCTGTGAATCTTTAATCACGCTTCCTTCAGTGCTCACTTAATAATCCTGTGCAGTTGATAGGTATCAGTGGTGAGTAGGATTCTGCCTCTTTATGGAAAAACAGAGCTCTCACTTTTTCACCTCTGATAGCTTAGAGGGTCATGCTGAGACAAAGGTAACTACACAGGAACCAGAAAACATACTTACCCCATCTGCCTTGATAGAACTTGGGCTGATCACTCAAAAAAACCCTGGGTTCCCAAGGATTGTCTGGCTCACCACCTGTGAAAGAGACCCATTAGACTGGTTCAATCTGTGAAGAACATTTGTCCCTAATCATCTCCCTAGCTTTCCTCCTCATCTTCAAGGAATGATCCACTCCTTTGTGCTTGCAGCCTGTCGTCCTGCGGTCTCAGCCTGCTTTTGCTCCCTTGAGTACCTGCCACTTCTCTAGTCCTACCCTGATGGCCCCTCATCAGGGGCTCTAGGCCCCTCTCAGTCTCAGGCAGAAAAAATCCTCCAAGCAGTCTTACAGTCCCCCATGCCACCACCATTCCTTTCTGTCCACAGATCCCTTTGCTTAACTAAAGACTAAGACCCTCAGCCTCCTACTGTGCTATTTCTGTGCACAGCACACTACAAACACAGAAGGCTGTCTGATGGTGCGTTTGCAGCTCAGTGTTTAGAAGACAGTGGAAAGGTTAAACGCTAACTTACCGAGCTGCTGCACTACACCAAAGGGGGCTGCTTCTGTTTCCCTGGAGTCAACTGGAGATTCTCAGAATAGAGAGGACAAAGGAAGTTGGCCGATGGGACGCTTTTGGCAGACTCCCAGGACCTGTGTCAATGTGGCTGCATCTACTCTGCAAAGCAATAGGCCTCGAACCATGGGTCCCAGATTGACTCGGGCTTGAATCCTCCAGCCCCAAATAGTCCCAGGATCCTAGATCCAAGCCTGAGTCTGAGAGGGGTGTGTGCGTAGGCTGAAGCGGGGTTTGGGCTCCAACCTGAGTCTGAGCCTGGGCTTACATTGCAGCGTAGACATACCCTTAAAGAGTTGTGTTGGGGAGGTCCAGCAGGTCTAGCAGTCTTTTCTGCAGTGCCCGATGATGCACTTTGTGTATTAAATATGGCAGTTTGCACTTTCGTGTATTTATTTAATTGTACAGTCAGTCAAACATGCGGTTACTTTTCTTGTTTACCTTTTTTAAAAAAAGGAAATTAAATGCATTCACACAATGTTATTGAAACTTTATACAAATACAAGTTAGAATAATCATTTATGGTTCCCATAGTAACCATAACCCAGCCACATTGCACATGTATATTAAGACATTAAAACTAACACCCATATGTAGTAACACAAAATATTACATATGTGGAAAGGGGGCTGAGTTATGACTTCTATTGTCATTATAACTTTGAATTTCCTGACTTTTATTAGGGTAAAATCAAAACCATAGATAAGTTGTTTGCTCTTAATAGATGTAAAGATTGTATATCCAGTACTTAAGTTACCATGCAAAATGGTTCTAGGATCATGCTCAAAGACTTTGGAGTTCTTTGAGAGGATATTTTATTTTTATAGCATAGTCTTCAACCTCTAAGAAGTTGAGAATATACCCAAATGTCACTGTTAATTGGTCAGTCTTTTTTGAGTCAATTATTGAGTGAATAATGTCTTTCATGTGCAAACAAAAATGTATACCCATTTACTGCCTATAGGAGTGCATACAACTGCACATTCAGATTATTATTTAGGTGGTTATATGTGTGTATATTTGTGAGCATCTTTGTGTGCGGGCATCAAGGCTTCTGTCCAGTGCATATCTGGTCCTTAGAGCCTTTAATGATGGTAAAATATGATTTCATACCATTGTTAATTTGTAAATAAAAGTGAGTAGCTGAAAATAACTTTTCTATCATTAGGAGCGTAAAAGAGCTCTGGAAGCAGAACGCCAAGCCCGGGTTGAAGAGCTGCTGATGAAGAGGAAAGAACAAGAAGCTCGGATTGAACAGCAGCGGCAGGAGAAAGAGAAAGCACGGGAAGATGCAGCACGGGAAAGGGCCAGGTAGTTCTCCTTACTATCTTGGGCCCTTATTCTGCATGGTGATCCATGCAAGTAGACTTTTGCTCCTGTACAGATAACGATGCAGCCTTGGGGCTTTGGTATTTTTGGAGAGTAATATTAATAAATATTATTTATAAATATTTTCAAATACAGAAGTTAGGTGAATCATATTAATAATAGGTCCTTTCTGGCAGGTTCCTTATTCTGTGTTGAAAAAGTGCTGTGTAAATTTGCAGTGCACACTACATACATTATTATTTTATTATAGTATTAAAATTTGCTGTATCATAAACTTTTATTACTAACAAGACCTTTTAACAAATTTCCTTTTTCCTTTTTTTTTTAATGGTTTGTCCATAATCAAAAGTCCACAAAGAGGTTTTTAATACAATAGCCATTTCAGCTATTCAGCGCTCTATCTATCTTGGGCCAAATATGAGTTGGATGTATATATAAATTTTGACCTATTGAATGTAGGTCAATCATTATATTGTACATGAAAGACTTTCTTTATGTTAAAATCACCTTCTGCTTAAGTTATTAGTGTTTATTTCTTTTGTCTGAATCTTTTTCTCAGTTCTCCCCCCCCTCCTTCTGAAAGCATATAAGTAAAATATATGCTACGTTCTTTTTGTAGCTGAAGCTTTTTATGACTAAAGGATCATTGGTTTAAAACAAAAAATTTTTTTTTGTCTTTTCTGATAGTCACAGCTTGAGCTCTTCAAAGCCATTTTAAGGAATATTCTAATCTAAGTAAAACATTCTGAATTTGTATTGATTTTTTTCTACATCTTCCAAGAACATAAATTAATCTAATTTGACATCATATAAAGACCTAGCATGCCATGAAATATTTAAACATGATGTACACAAAGGGCAAGATCCTCCAATTTGCTCATGACTCTTTGCGCCGTTCCTGGATTGCGCAGAGCCTGTATAGCCAGCTCTAGGATGCCTCTGCCACAGTGAGTATGGTTCGGTGGAAGAGCCCCTTTGTGATTTCCTCCATTTTCTTTAATTCCCAAAGGACTTGAGGAAAATTAGGCAGAACAGAGACAGAGTGATATTAGTTGCACCACTGTAGGAAAAGCCTTCCTGGTTCTTAGAAATTCTTGCTCTTTCCAAAGATCATAGAATCTTAGAATATCAGGGTTGGAAGGGACCTCAGGAGGTCATGTAGTCCAACCCCCTGCTCAAAGCAGGACCAATCCCCAACTAAATCATCCCAGCCAGGGCTTTGTCAAGCCTGACATTAAAAATATCTAAGGAAGGAGATTCCACCACCTCCCTAGGTAACGCATTCCAGTGTTTCACCACCCTCCTAATGAAAAAGTTTTTCCTAATATCCAACCTAAACCTCCCCCACTGCAAGATAGTCTATTCGCTCTCCCCTTGTGTTAAAGATTTCTTTCCTAACAGTTCAGTGTATCCAGACTTCAAGTCCCTTTATCTGACATCATGGCTGTTAGATTTTTAGGACAGAATGTTTTATGCTTATCTGAGGAGATCCGGACAGTTGTTTGGGAATCCAGGAAGTGTTATGCTGCTAAATAGAACTGATTATAAAAGGTTGCTCAAGTTAAAATCCTTTATTCTAGTTTCAGTTCATTTAGATTTTTTTCGTATCTCTGGTGTAATCAAAGCTATTCCTGACAACTGTGTTTATTCATCAAGCTGTTGTTTCTGTGCACCATGTTGTTATGTAAGGGACCACAGTATAGTGTAATGCTGATTTTTAAAAAGAGCTCCTGAGGCAATCCTGGCAATTACAGGCCAATAAGCCTAACTTCAGTACCAGGCAAATTGTTAGAAACTAGCAAAGAGCAGAATTATCAGAAATGTAGATGAACACAGTTTGTTGTAAAGGGAAGTCATGCCTCACCCATCCATTAGAATTCTTTGGGGGTGTCAACAAGCGTGTGAATAAGGGTGATCCTGTCAATATAGCATACTTGGATTTTCAGTAAGCCTTTGACAAGGTTCCTCACCAAAGGCTCTTAAGGAAACTAAGTAGAGTGGCAGAGCTCCGACCTTGTCCCCGTGGGTCTGGCGCTTCCAGGCGGTTTATGCTAGCCTCAGAGGCTCACTGTGACCCTCCACGTAGCCCTTCTCTCTCTGGAGCCAGGGTACAGTTTACTGAGCCCTTTTCGTCATAAGCCAGCAAGGAGGTTAGTGAGAGAACTCCCACAGTCTCTGTTGTTCCTACGGGCTTATTCCAGAGCAGTTTAGCCTCCTGTCCTGACAGGGGCCTGTCTTCCCCTCCCAGAAGGTGTTTCTGTAGTGGTGGGTTGGGGGGAACCCGGGCCCGCCCTCTGCTCCAGGTTCCAGCCCAGGGACCCTAATGGCAGCAGCTGTTGGCGGTCAACCTTTCACTGCCAGAGTTGCTACATTTCCCTGGGCCACTTCCCCCTGCGTCTCTCTCTTAACGCCTTCTTCAACTTTATCTTAGGGATCCCTTTCCAGTGGCTTGGGGGTGTCTTCATTACCCAGCCTTTCAGCTGCATTTCCTCTCCTCTGGCTCCCTGGCTTTCCTCAGCCTGGCTAGAGTGAGCCCTTCTACAGTATCTGAGGGGCCTTAATTAGAGTTAGGTGTTCACATTAGCTTAACAGCCTCACCTGACTCTTTACAGGCTAATTGGAGTCATGTGTCCACCCTAGCCTGGAGCAGCCCCTACTCTGGTCAGTCAGGGAACAGAAAAATGTTTATCCAGTGGCCAGTATAGCAACACTGAAGCCATCCTCAGCTGAAAGCACGTCTGATGTGTCTTAATGGGGCGAGGGGCCATGCAGTGGGTGGCCGCCGTCTATTCTGCTGAGCTCGGATGACTGTCTAAAATCAATGTATACCAGCTAAACATGCAGCACAGCTAAACAGGGATCAAACTAGCACAGATCTCAAAATAAAAAACTCAAGCTAAAAAAAAAAAATTATTACTCTGCTGTACCCAACTGGCCTGGGTCTATCACAGTAGTCCTGGGATAACAGGGAAGGTCCTGTCTTGGATCAGTAACTGGTTAAAAGATATGAAACAAAGAGTTAGAATAAATAGTTTTCACAATGGAGAACGGTAACCAGCAGGGTCCCTCAAGATTCTGTACTGAGACCTGTGCTGTTCAATAAATTCATTAATGATCTGGAAAAGGGAGTGCACAGTGAAGTGGCAAAGAGTTCAGATGATACAAAACATTCAACATAATTAAGTCCAAAGCTGACTGCGAAGAATTACAGGGGGATCTCTCAAAATTGGGTGCCTGGGCAACAAAATAGCAAATGAAATTCAACATTGATAAATGCAAAGTAGTGCACATCGGAAAATATAATCTGAACTACACATGTCTGAGGAGGAGGAGGGTCTAAATTAGCTTTTACCACCCCAGAAAGAGATCTTGGAGTCATTGTGGATAGTTCTCTGAAAACTACAGCTCAATGTACAGTTGTGGTCATAAAGGGTAACAGAATGTTAGGAACTATTAGGAAAGGGATAGAAAATAAAACAGAAAATGTCATAATGCCCCTGTATAAATCCATGGTGTGCCCACATCTTGAATACTGTATCCAGTTCTGGTCACCCCATCTCAAAAAGGATACGCTAGAACTGGAAAACGTTCAGAGAAAAGCAGCAAAGATGATCAAAGGTATGGAATTGCTTCCATATGAGGAAAGATTGAAAAGAGTAGGCAGTTTAGCTTAGAAAATTGACAATTAAGGTGGGGGTCTGATAGAGATTTATAAAATCTTGAATTGTATGGAAAAAATGAATAGAGAAGTGTTATTCCTTTCTCACAAAAGGAAAAGCAGGTGTCATCTGATGAAATAACAGGTAGCAGGTTTAATACAAACAAGAGGAAGTAATTTTTCACACAACACACAGTCAGCCTGGGGAACTCATGGGATGTTGTGACAGCCAGAAGTATAACAGAGTTTAAAAAGGAGCTAGATAAGTTCATGGAGGATACGTCTATCAAAGGCTTTAGCCAAGCTGGTCAGCTGTGTAACCCCATGCTAGTGGCATCCCTAAACCTCTGGCTACCAGAAGCCAGGAGGGTAAGATGTGTGGATCTCTCCAAAATTGCACTGGTCTGTACGCTATTCCTTAAGTGCTGGTACTGGCCACAGTGGGAGATAGAATACTGGGCTAGATGGACCATTGGTCTGACCCAGTATGGCTGTTCTTATATTTTACCATCCTTACTTCAAACAATTTTTAAAAGATCTTATGAACCTGTACTCGCCCTTTCCAGGAGACTAATTATCCTTGATATTTGAGTTTTTGTTAGCCAGACTTAGGGAAGGGGCTTGTAGATTGTTGCTTTTTGTACCATCTGTCACTCAAAGTCTCATTTCTAGTGGTCACTACCTTGGCTGTGAGCATTTTGGAGTAACAGGCTCTGATGGCCAAACCAACTGTATACCATATTTCATAAAGATTAGGCAGTACATAGGCTTCACCCCAAGTTTCTAAGAAAAGTGGTAAAGCCTCATAGGCATCTTGGGCTTTTAGAGATAGTGAAGAACTTAGGGATGATTTCAGGGGCAATTAATACCTTCAAGGGTTGTACACACTACCACTTATGTCAGCATAACTTATATCCCTCAGGGTTGTGAATAAGCAATGTAAGATACATCGACCTAAGTGACAGTGTGGACAGCGCTAAGTCAGTGGGAGAGCTTCTCCCACTGACATAGCTACTAACTCCTGCAGAGGTGGTTTTATTATGCCGATAGGAGAGCTTTCTCCTGTTAGCATAGAGCATCTTCACCAGACACGCTACAGCAGCATAGGTGCACCAGTGCAGCTGAGCTGCTGTAGTGCTTCTAGTGTAGACTTGCCTTCAGTCAGTGGAATGTTGATTAAGGGAATTACAGTTGCTCAACTCTTGCTCAAAAATAGTTGTGTCCATGTTGCTAGGCATGCAACATCTACATTGTGCCTCTGTGGAAGAAGTGGAATCAGAAAACTAGTTATTGTGGGTAAGTGATCCTTTTTTGCCATACCTAA